ACTTAAGCTTTCTAATTTTCAAAACAAGCAATGACTATACGAGCTAAAAGTACTAACATGGTGCTTTAAGCCTAAAAGTGTGAGGCTCTTCACATCCATATTGGACAAAAAATGAAAGTCCTTAACAATGCAAGATAATGCATAAGGCATTATTGGAGTCCCACTGTTATAGTCTAGTCCAACACATGATGTCAGCTCTGCTGTTTCTGCACTTTACTCGGCAGGCTCCATACATCTGTCATTTGAGGTTAGTTGTTGAATGCTTGCCACATAGACGTTTTCACTTGGGAGGCATCAGATGGGAAAACTGAATCTGAAGTCTCAGCTGCACTTAATACCTCAGGGATCATCTTACATGGCAGCATTTAATGCCTCTTGTTGAACTGTGCACTGATTGCTGTCACACTAATACTTACAATACTATTAGGATAAGTGTTTCCTTTTTGCTAATTCAATAGTAGTGTAGTGAGTGTTATTTCACAGCTTTAGTATGCAAGAGATATGGGCTTGTGTTACATCTTTCCTTGGTGGTTCTCTCTGTAATATCAGTGGCAGAGGAGAGGGTTTTCTATACTATGTAAAAGCCTATGTCAGTATCATAAAGACAATTGCCCTCACAGGAGGTAGACCCTGACACAGGTTGGAGGGTGAGGCTGGGTTTGAAGTGCACCAGCCCACACATTAATGACTTGATGGGACCATTTTATATATTTTAATCAATATGACACAGCAGAATGGTTTAGTACGTATGTATGATGAGTGTACAATATATGCATCTACTCTTCTGATATCACATTAAGGGCTTCAAAACTGAGATACCACACGGGTTACAACATCCTAATACTAATACTGTTTTATTACCAGTATATTAACTTGCACTACATTGCTCCGGTATCTTTGATTGTATAGCATGATACAGAAGTAAATGCATTACGATAGTATTGCCGCAGAATAGGATCAATTTTTATACGCCATAAAAGAATTACAGAATAGATTAAACAAATTACACTGGATTTATATTGTGGTTTAGAGGGAGAGTGTGTAAAATAAGAAAATACCTGCACAGTGGAGAGGCAAAATGATTCAGATAGAAAGCAAACAAGAAAAGAGCAAGAAATCAATTGAAAGGGAGATAGATATATCGGAATTACAAAGCCATGGGTCTTTCTGTGGATTTGAAGTGCCTCTGTCCTCTAATTGATCTAGCCACAACACGGCCACAACATTTCCTTCCTGCCTTGTGGCAGACATTCATGGGGGTGTTTAGTGCATTTTGAAAGCACAGAATCAGACACACATACAATTAGCAAGAACTTCTCTGGGCAGCTTTCCAAATGACAGCAGACTATCAACAGTCTTAATGTATAGTTGGTAATGTTGTGAGCTACTGCAACATGAGACGTCATTCGCATAAGGGCCTCTGCTAAGACAACTTACTCTTTCACTAGAAAGGTGTCATGTTCTCACATTTTAAAGAGGAGCACCACACTAAAACATGTTTTTTTTTTGGCTGTAAACTAAATTAAAAGACCATGCTATGATGAAACGCGTCAATGCTGGTGTTAAAAATGACATTATTAACGAATCTATAGTAGTTTAGCAACAACACAGCCGCTAGCTCAGCTAAACATTCACATGCCATTCACAGAAACATTCAGGTCAGTGAAAGTGACTCTCTGTGTTTCCAGCGCGGACATGGAGACTCTGACATGCTCAGTCTGTCAGTCACGCCGGTCGGTGTCGGGGGCCACAGCCCCTAAAGTCACTGTCCTTTGCCGGTCTCTGATGCATTTTTAAAATTTGCAGATAAGAAGAGAGCTAGCAGAATTAAAGGGTGTAGTTACACTTAAATCAACAGTAGTCTACAGCTGCAAGCCTTTTTATTTTTTCACCCCTTGCTTCAGGCAGCCTGAGTCTGCCACTGGTATAAACTGTACTGCTACAGTCAGCTACAGTTCTATGCTACATAATACAAGGCTCAAAGTTCGATATATTAAAAAATATTATTTTTTACAAAGTTAGAATTCAAATCCATGATTTCTTATTTGCTTGCGTATATGCTTTCTCCTGTATAAAAGGTGTGGACAATTTTCAATGTGCTGTTTTCTGTTTTTATTCCTTTTTTTACTTTCGGTTTTGTTTTGTTTTCCTCTCTCTACGGTTATCTCTTTTGAGAGTGTGTATGAAAGTATGTGGATACCTAAAGGTAAAACTGGAGAGATAAATGGGATTATTATCATGTATACACAAGTATATGGAACTACAGACAACTAAATTATAATTTCCTTTCTTAAACCCTTTCTGTTCTAACAAAGTACGTGACTGTAAAATGCAAATTTCTTTCTCAATAAAAAGAGAATTACAAAAAAAGTGTGAAAAATATATTCTAAAGTTTCAACATTCATATTAATTCACTATTAGGTTTTACTGCTTAATGCAAACTGAGCAGAGTGTCGGCTATTCTAATGATTGTACAGGTTGTAAAATATCAGGAAGGAGGAAATGCAGTCAAGGACATGGTTGTTTAGCCCCAACTCACTCAGCCTTCCTAATACCTTACATCTGTCCTACATTAGTGTTGCAGAATTGAAACTTGGGTCAGCAGCAGTACTTTACTACTTACCATAAATCAAGTCCAAGACAGCAACACTGGAATGGACACACCATACTATCTGACAAGTTAGTAGAAGTACGTAGTAATACCGATGTGGGATAGATACAGTTTATAAGCTTCATACAGGAGGCTTGAAACACATAAAGTTAAATAGGAGCTCTCTGCCTTCCTTGTATTTCCTCCCTCAGGGTAAATCTAATTTTCAGCATCCTGTCTTTCCGGTTCATTCAGACCAGTGGGTTTCAGGTCTCACTTTAGATAGCTAAAAATACTTTATCTTCTTTTACCGAGCGTTGAATCAGACATGTAATTCACTTTGACTGATATCTTTGTAGACAGTCCAGATACCAGAAGGCCACCTGCATACTTAAATGTTAAAGAATCCATTGGATTTATAAAGCAGCCACAGTGATGTGAAGCACTGTGGTGACTTTACAGTTGTTAGTATAAAATAATAGAAGTCATGGGAGAATGCTTTCTGCTAGGACACTGGATGAAGCTGGAGAGCATCTGGTGTTATTGTAAACGCAAAAGTGTCACTACCCAAAACAATGCAAAATGTAAAAAAAATAAACCATGAATATGACAAAACAAAAATATGACATGAAGGAAAGTGCAGAATGGAGGCAAAGAGCCAGGTAGTAAGACCAGCTGCAAGATCCCCACACCCTGGAGTGCTGTTCGCATTCCTAGCTAACTTAGCTCAGAAAAGCCCTAAGCCCTCAGCCCAAGGCTGAATTATCTCATAAGTGTGTCAATGCAAATGCAACCGTTTTACCCAAGAATTACATTCATATATAATATATATTTATACATTTTTCATTAGCTAAATATATTTTGGGGGGAATTTAATACTGTTCAGATTTTCTAAATCAAAATATCTGAAAAACGTTTTCATAAGCTAAATTTGTATTGAATATAAGTTGAATGTTCATCCCGAACATATGAGCAAAGTGTCCACTATAAATGTTCTTTATGTGTTATGTGTATATAATGTTCACTCATTGCAACTAAAGTGTGATTAAGGTATTAATGATTGTATGAAGACCGCTTACAGCAGTTACTTGGTTAAGGGTACAGTCCATCTTTTTAATAATGTACCTCCATAAAGTTACTGCACTCACAAGAGACTGATTTTGAAAACCAAACTGTAAAACTTGAAAGCGACTGATAGCTCATTCCTTTCAGTGCCTATGTTCCCATAATGCAGCCTGACGGAATGTTAATGAAGCTGACATATTCAGCTTGAGTTCACTCAGACTTGACAAGCTCCTCCAGAGCCACAGAAGACATTATGCAACTATTTCAAAGGCTAAGTAGCACCTCTGGTGACTAGTAAATTGACTGTGACATGTACAGTTGGTGGAGTGCCTCTGTACAGTTAGGAGAACAATGTGGTCTTGGTTAAATTTGAGTTTTTACAGCCCTACTTCCTGCATTAGTGCTAACAGTTGCCTTCAAAAACAGGAGAAACAAGATAGGTGAATGAGTATGGTGAGTGGCTAAATTAATAATTTAATTAACAAACAAATGAATGAATGAATAAATGAATGAAGGAATGGGAGTGTTTTGGTACAGGACTGCACACGACTGTATGTTGTCTGAAGTAGCTGAAGTTGACTCTCCACTCAACTGATGGGATATTGGATAGACACATAAATGCAAGCAGTTCTCATGTTTCGAAGAAGTGCAACAAAATCCAGACGTGTCTGCATGCACATACAAATACACACACTCATATGCACACACAGCCATAATTCCTTACGGTCTGCCCTGAAAGTAAAGCAAACATATTCGAGTACAGCAGTTTTCCATTCGTTCTACTTTGTTGTTTGATTAATGACTGGTTTTCATTGTGAGAACTTGAGTGGAACAAGGAAGTGGGAGCTTGCAGGTATCAACACATCCTTGATTGTTTGTACAGAGCTTGATCCTTACTTTTTTTCCACTACCTATTGCCCTCAATTCAAACCTATCAAATAAGAGCTGACTTTGTGATAACCCTGCAGCAGGTACTCAGCCACACTGCACTTATGGTCTATCTTATTGATTACATTAGTTACCACTGCTCTCCTTGTTTCTTCTCACATTGTTTCATACACACGCATAAGTATCTGTGCTTAATCATTAGACACACTCAGTAAGGAAGGTACAGCCCTGCATCATTCACTTGGCTGTGCTTCCTGTGCTGGCTGCTCCTTTTCACTAGTGTGGTGGGAGTGGTGAGTTCGGAAACATTGCTCCTCCCATGTTTACTCTCACTCTCTGTTTTGTTGGGGTTCATCACTCATGTTCCAATCATTCTTTAAATCTCTCCTACTCTCAGCACACTCCCCTTCAGCATACTCCCTTGCTCTCTCTCTCTCTCTCTCTCTCTCCCCCCTCAGTTGCTGCTCCCCTGTTTCCTGCTGTGTTTTTTCATCCCTTCTTCAGAGCCATCTCACTCCCACTCACAACTAGGATCAACAGACCAGCTCTTCAAGGTAAGAAACAAACACAACTCACATGCATTTATTTACCTGAAAATAAAAAATGTTTTTTTTTTTTTACCTATAGTCTCAAAGAGTTTATTTCCTGTGCTGCTGCTTCTGTTTGCCAGTGTTAGCGTTCAACCACATTTTTTGCTACTCAACCTCATGAGGACCAGTCCCTACAAGCAACGCGTCCTGTCATGTGTGGTTATTTAGTTGCCAGCTTCATGTGTCTTTATTGGGATACTGTGAGTGTTGTCAGTGTTTGAAGCTTAAATTAAAAACTTTAGGCTTTGACTTGCTGATTCCTCTGGTTGATCTTCTTTCTGTTCTGTTCGGTTCGGTTCTGTTCTGTTTCTTTGTGTTTTGTTCACCTTGTACACAGATTAAGAGTAAGAGGGGGGTGTAACACATAGAGGTGGATAACAGAGTGGTCCGTGTAGTTCTATGTGTGTAGTTTTAGCCCAGTCAACTCAAATGTAGTACCCTGTGAATGCTGTATTAAGTGAATGCAGTGTAAAAGTGTAGGTGCTGGAAGTTCAGTTCATCCTTTAGAAGTGAGGCATTTTCAAAATAATAATAATAATAATAGATTTTATTCATAGAGCGCTTTTCTAGGAACTCAAAGACACTTCACATAAGTTAAAAGTAAAGGAAAAGGTAATAAAAACAACACACTAAAATATATATAGGTATATCTACAACACTCAACAATAAATCAAACATTAGAAGCCGTCCTGAAAAGGTGGGTTTTGATCAGTGATTAGAAGTTGGATGGATCAGTATAGTCTCGGATTTGTTTAGGGAGACAGTTCCAGACGGAGGGGGCGGCTTTGGAGAAGGCTCTGTCGCCCCAGGTACGATGCTTGGTCCTCAGTGGTGGAGACAGGAGGTTGGCATCAGAAAAGCGGAGGCTTCTGGAAGGAGTGTGGCGATGGAGCAGGTCTGCGAGGTAGGAGGGGGCCTGGTTGTCGAGGGCTTTGTGAGTGAGGAGAAGGACTTTAAATTGGATCCGTTGTTGGACAGGGAGCCAGTAGAGGTTCTGTAGGACAGGGGTGATGTGGTCACGGGAGCGGGTATGGGTGAGCAGGTGAGCTGCAGAGTTCTGGGTGTCCTGAAGTATATTGTGCAATGTTTTTCAGGTGAAAGAAGGCAGTTCTGGTGATTTGGTTGACATGCTGTTCAAAGTAGTGGTTGCTGTCTTAGATGACTCCGTATGTGTGGGGAGGGAGACAGAGTGGTGCTGTCAATGCTAGGGCTGAAGTTGTTCATTCAGGAGCAAAAACTGTCAATAATAAAATTTACAAGTAGACATATTGTTGCCTTGCTCTAACTTTACTTTTGTAGAGGCAAAAATATTCCTACAGAAAAGTACACTGTAAGTTTTGGTGCAAATAAGAGGATTGAGGAGAACAGGATTATAACTTTTCAGTAAAATTGAAGTAATACCACGTTAAACATCTCTACGTAGTTCATCTTTACTAAAGTGTCTCCACATTTTGTCAATTTGCAGAAGCCTATTTGTGATGCATTGCGAATAAGAACTTAATCTGTAGTATGTAAGGTTTATTGAAGTAAAAAAAAATAATTATCAAAACATAACTGTAAAGAGTAAATAACAGATGTATGCGACCTCTGATTTCTTAGGTTTCTCATACAATGTTGGCAGAAACTTGACAAAAACTGACAGTCTCAATGACCCTGTACCTCTTTCACAAGCCTTGAAAACGCTCTTAGAAAATGAAAATGTCCGGATCACAGCTATTAAGAGAAATGTATGAACCCGAAATATCAAATATGTCACATGACTTTGAAGTGTTAAAGAGACTAAAGACCAATTTTGTCACAGACATGAGACATGCCTATTGTCATGTCTGGAGGTTGTAATCACACCTTGTCTAACAGCTTTGACTTGCTTGTTTTCACAGACGTTGCTGTGGCAACTCTTAATGCTGTAATTCAAAAGACTAACAAACATGGTCAGTTCAGTGTTGATATATTGTCTGCTGACAACTGAGGAGTCAAATATTTATATTTGGATTTATGAAAAGTACAAAAAAATTGGAGTGAGACAAAGAAATGTAGTGCTGCTTTACCAGCTGTTTGTCAGTCTGATAATAAAACCTATGACAAGGCTGAGGCAGCACTAACTCAAGTAGTGATTACAATGTTGCAATCATTGATGACCACACATTGCTTAAAAGGTAATATTATGTTGCAGTTTCAACACTTTTAAGTCTCCTCCACTATTTAAAAATGACTTTATTCAAACCTTGCTATTACATAATATGACATCACTAAGCTTATTTGTAGTTTTGAATTAAGATTATCTTCACATACTGTACACATCAATATTAATACTGTACATATCAATAATAGGCATAAATAATGCGCCAGGAGAATAAACCTGAAAATTAGAATGATAAAAGTGTAGTGAGTTCGAAGGTGTGTGTGTGTGTGTGTGTGTGTGTGTGTGTGTGTGTGTGTGTGTGTGTGTGTGTGTGTGTGTGTGTGTGTGTTTAGGGACAAAGAGCTATGTTTTGTCTTGTGCCTCAGGGGGCTTTACAATCTGTACAGCATACAGCACCCTCTGTTCTTAGACCTTCAATTTGAGGGAAGAAAAACTTCCTCCAAAAACTCTTTTAACAGCAAAACAAGGCAAGGAAGAAAGCTCAGGAAGAGTCACAGAGGAGGGCTCCCTCTCCCAGGATGGACAGACATTTAATAGATGCCTCATGTCCAGAACAGATGTTGTAATTTAGCTCTTCACCCATACCACCCTTCCTTAAGGCCTAAGAGAAAGTTCTGCCAAACAGTATATTGGGTGGATACATAATTCACCAGTATGGTCATCATCAGTGCATAAACCAAAACGTTTGTGATTTCCAGGCTAAATATGTGCAGCACTAATGAGACAGCAGCATTTTATTATTTATCTTGCTATCTGTTGACCTGCACTATTCTTAGTGCCTATTTTCTTCTTGCTGACTGGCCAGCCCTCAAAAGCTGTTAACCTTTGATCTTTCTAGGAACAGACACTTTGCAAAACTCTCTCAAATCCTCAGTCCACATTCTTGAGAATCCCGAACTGAGAGAAGCTTGTATTCTCCTTTGCAAATCATAAAAAGAACAAGAAATTCCCATTTCATGTAATTGCTTTGCATATTCGCCTTAAACATATATGGTAAGATAATCCTATGTGATTCAAGTATCTCAGTATCTTTTTTATCATTTTGTATGGCAAAAGGTAACAATTTTAACAGGAGAAAACAGTTTAGGCAACCAATCATAATTTACAGCATTTTTCCTTTTCTTTAGTTTTTTTGTGTTTGTTAAACCTGGTGGTATTGCTTTCATCAGTACTATTAATGCTGCCAACATCTTTTTCCTGTTTAAAGTAAATAAGTGTAAAAGTGGATGACTGGCATCATCACTTTTCAACCCTCTCCACGTGTCATCACTTTGAGAGCTAAAATGCTTTTAGTGAGAACCACACTTGTTTGTTTTTTTTAACCCCATTTTTTGCCAACAGGAAATGGCCTCCAAACGGCCAATCGGCTACAAGTGTCGCATAGCATCAGTGCTACTTCTCCTGTTGGCCAGTATTGCTGCCCTTGTTGCTGTTGCCGTCATCCAGGACAAATGGAAGTTTACACAGTACAGCATACAGGTAAGAACATCTAAGCGGCTACAAAAATACTGAAGGTTGCACCCACAAACCTGTTGGAAATGCTATTTGTTTGTAGATTGTCTTTCTTTAAACAAAGTACTACTAGGCTACATAACAGTTCTCAAAACACATTTATACAGAGAGAGAGAGAGACATGTATACAAACTTCAGCTCCCACACAAACTCAGCTGTGAATGTGATGCCAGACGTTATCCAGTAGTCAGGGTCATGGTAAGAGGTTTCCTCATTAGTCTTCTTGGTGATGAATGGTGGTTTTGATGTACAATGTGTGTCTTTTTCAAAGGGGTGGTGCTGGAGGGGTTGGTGGTTCAGGAACAGGAGTGCCTCTGCAGTTCAATTCAAATGAAAAATGCGACATGCTAAAATGATTTTTTTTTTCTTTCTTCTCTTCTTCAGTATGGCATAGTGATAGATTCGGGATCATCTCGTTCCAATATGTACCTGTACGAGTGGCCAGGGGAGAAGCAGAATGAAACAGGAGTGGTGACTGAGGTACTGAACTGTCGAGTTTCTGGTGAGTCACTGTATAGGGTTTAAAAAATGCTTGGGAAGAGGAAAAATGAAACTTTAGTAGTAGTGTAAATTAAATTGTGGGACGTAATGATGAGTATACTAAGCTTTTTGAAATTTGGGACATCCATCATCTATCATGCATTATTTAACTGACCAACTTAAGAATGTGAGAAACAGATTAACTCAGGCATTTTACTTGTGCCCACAGGTACACCTATCTCAGAAATGAAAGTTGACCCACAACAAGATGCAAAATCGTGGATAGGATTCCAAGCCTGCATAGATAACGTCACTAAAGCCATTCCTGCTGAAAAACACAAAAACACACCTCTCTTTCTGGGAGCTACAGCTGGAATGAGACTGCTACAGTAAGAAATTGTCAAAGTTAATAAGTTTGGGGTAATTTCTCACCCTTACTTATATTGCACTGTGACAGGAAGGATCAGAGCAATTTAACCCCATTCATGCACCACATGGTTTTCCCCAAAGCCAACTGAGTCACTGAGTTACCAAGAAGCCCCGACAGTAAACATGTGGAGACTGCTTAGATAGTGATTTTCAATTTACTTTCAGTCTTTGTGTTAGCTAAGATAACTGTCTCCTGGCTAACTCTACAGTTTCATGTAGTGTACAAAATATTGATATTTGACTATTTCTTTAATGGCACTGATTCCATTTTTAACTGCTAAACTACTCCTGTTTCCAGTAAGACCTGTAATTTGTTCTTTCTTCTGCTTTGCTATAAGTGAGAAGGATGAAAACAGGTCCAATGAAATCCTGGAAAGTCTCAAAGAATACCTAAGTTCTTTGCCTTTCAACTTCCAAAACGCTTCCATCATTAGTGGTCAGGAAGAAGGGCTGTATGGGTGGGTCACTGCCAACTACCTCATGGGAAACTTACTAGAGGTAAGACACTGTCATTGATGTATCCCTTTAAACAGGAAAAAAGAAATGCTTGTTTATAAAGATGGCCATCACATGGCTCATCATATACTAATGATTTCCAGAAAAACCTGTGGAACCGCTATATACATCCAGAAGGGGCAAAGACTGTAGGGTCCATGGACCTCGGTGGAGCGTCAACACAGATCGCCTTTGAAATCCAGGATGAGCTGCAGGGGCCTGACTACAAGCATGTCAAACTGTACGGCTATCCTTACAATGTCTACACACACAGTTTTCTCTGCTATGGGAAAAATGAGGCTGAGAAGATTATTTTGGACAAAATAATCCAGGTGCACAGCTTTTCTTTTTGTCTTGTGTGTATGTATGTGTGTGTGTGTGTACAGAAATAATTGTGTCTATCATTTAAGATCATATCTTATTTCTTTTCTGAACTTTTTCCCTGTACAGTTTCTACGTTCATGTTTAAGTGCTTGTTTGTGGTGGATGTGGCACTGAGAATATGCACTTTTTCTGCATACATGTGCAGGCTACAGATCCATTAATGCCCAGTTAAGAATTGATTAGTGAATGCTGCTGTCCCTGAACTGCTAATAGGCAAAAGGAGACCAGTCAGAAATGCATTATATCATTAAGACTATTGATTGGATCATGAATGTCGTCAGGCTAGTCTTTGAGAAATGCATTATTACTGGCAGCTTATAGCTAAACTAATATAAATATGCTATGCTGGGAGAATATGTATACATTTGCAGCAGGGTCTTGTTATAAAATGCTGATTTTTAAAGATGATAAAAACTTTAATTTACATCAGGATCTGTATGTGTTAATGTATAATTTAAGTAAATAAGACACAGACACACACACACACACACACACACACACACACACACTACATATAATATGATACTGTCCAAAACTTTTCCCTCTTATCTCATCCTCCCATGTTTCTTCCTGTCCATCTTGTGTTTATTTCCTCCTCATCCTCCATTCCTTCTTTTGACATTTTCTTCCTCCTCTTCCAGGGAGCATATGACCCAACCAACATTGCTAACCCCTGCTACCCTGAAGGTTTCAACATCACCATAACAGCCTCATCTATTTATGACACAGAGTGCACAAAGAAACCAGAAGGATACAGCCCGGATCAAAAATTCTTTATGGTGGGAACTGCCGACTCAGAAATGTGCAGGAGCATAGTGAAGTCCATATTTGATTTCAAGACATGTTCCTCATCTCATTGTTCCTTCAATGGGGTTGAGCAGCCACCCGTCACTGGAGATTTTAAGGTAACGTACAGTGCAAATAAAACACATGCAAGAAGAGATGGAAGATGGAAAAAAAAACGTAATGTATATTCTGCTGTTCCTTCCAGGCATATGCAGGATTCTTCTATACTGCTAGGGCGCTGCTGATGAACGGGACGTCAGATCTTGATCAATTCAACGCCTCAGTTAGTAAATTATGCCACACACCTTGGACAGAGGTAAGTTCTTTCAATTGGTATAGAGATATAGTAGAAAGGGGAGGAGAAATAATATAGAAAAAAAATTAAGTAGACATCAACAAATGAAGAAAGAAGCATATACAAACATTGAAATTGTTTTCATACACTAAGTGTTATTGCAACCACTGCCACTTACAGGCCATAAAGTCCAACCACATTCCACAACAATTTTACTCATGTAGAAAAGAGCAGCTTTGAGACTACTGATTGAGGTGTGTGACAACATTTTCTGTGTGGTTGAAGCATGTCAAAACTGCATATACCTGCCCGCAATTAACTTACTAAATATGCATTAAACTTAAACATACAAATCATCTTTGGTAGGGTTACTGTTTTAGAATGATCATTTATGTTAATTAGAGATTTTAAATAAGAGATAAGGTTACTGGTACTTAAAGGATATTTATGCCGTGTAAGAGTGGATATTTCTCTTTTGCAGGGACTCGTGTCTGTGTATCGGACCCAAAAATAGCTGCATAATGTCTTTGTAACTGTTTTTTATCCCACATTGTTTTGTCTCTGTCTTGCATTGGTCTTAAAGTATTTCATCTGAATCAACATTGACATTTTGTCATACATTATCATTCAGTATCATTCATTTGTGTCATTTTTCTAAATCACAGACTACACTCTGTTATCTGTTTATCTTCCTTTCAGCTGAGGAAAGAAAAGTACTGGATCTCTGAGAAATACCTTAAGACTTACTGTTATGGAGGTCACTATGTCTTCTCTTTGCTGGCGGATGGATACAAGTTTGACAAAGAGACCTGGAAAAATATTTACTTCGAAGAAAAGGTTGGTGGAGCTAATTTAAGACACTCCTTGTCCCCGCTACTGCATTGTGCTGTCCTTTACACAGGTATAAAGCCAATACATATTTTCCTCCTCATATATTCTTGCAAACATAACGCTCCTATTATATACAAAGGAGAAAACAACCATCAGAATAAGTTTATGGCTGTTTGATGATGACAATTGCTGTGCTTTAGCTTTCAACAGTCTCTCATGTTCAGACACAGGCGTTAAACAGTGTTCAACATGCACAAGTGTGAATAAGGCCACCCAGTGGGACCCATTAAAAATGGGATGGCTGACATACCAGTCATCTGCACTCAAAAAGTTGAGGCCAGAGTGAAAGGCAGCCAATGTATCGCTCCAGGACGCCCCGAGGACATGCAGTGTCTTTCACAATGGAACTCCCTCAACAGAAGGGGATTCCTGGTCTGTGACCCTCAGTGTATCCCTCATGAGTCATACAGAAAGATAGCTATTTAAAAGTTGTAAATTACAACTGCAGTTTCATAATTGCATGGTGGCGATTAACCTTTAGTCTGGATCACAATAGCTGGCGATGCTCCGAATTTCCAAGCTCACCAACAACAGATTCAGTGTGTGTACTGTTTAGTGCCTTTTGGGTGTCTGGGAGTCTTGTGGTTGGTAGGTCCTTTCCAAGGAACAGACGCACTTGGATTCTTTACAGGGATGTTCTTTGGGTGTTATGACTCATCTTTTGCCCTAGAGCTGTATTTGTGTTCACGAAAGGGCTTTTTGATGCTCAAAACTTCTCTAGACATGCAATGACAAGCCGAGTGGAACCATGTGCTACTGAAAGAATACTGTCAACAACATGCCAGTTCATGGTGAGAACATGGCAAATATCTTCTTTTCTCTTCTTTTCAGATAAAGAAAACCAGCATAGGTTGGAGTTTGGGCTACATGCTGAGTATGTCCAACATGGTCCCATCTGAAGTGAAAGAAATCCCTCCCTTGACAGACCCCGTCTTTGCCGGCCTTATCTTTCTATTTTCTGCACTAACCATTATAACTGTTGTCTTAGTTTTCATCATATTCATTCGCACCTGCTACTGAGAGTGCATGTTAAATGGAATGATCTGCCTTTGTAAGCCTGGGGGGTTCCCGTAATCCTCTGAAGTATCGTTGCAGTAGCATGTGCCAAAAATTTGATATTGAGAGTTACTAATGAAAATGTTTTTTTTAGCCTGAGCCATTTACTGCCTTCTGTTTCTGAGTTTTTTAATGACAACCTCTCACTGTGTATCCCGCTAGTGTCTTTCAGCTAGTAGTAAAAACCACCTCTAAAAGGTAATAAAACACTTTTTAAATGTTGTACCTCAGGGAAACTCACATTGTTGTAAATAATGGGATCTGTTTACATTAAATTTTTCAAGTTTCAGTAAAGGGAAATATTGTCGTTGGTCACACAATGGTTTACCTGAATGATGCATAGTTGAAGACAGGACACCCAGACAGTTCCACATGATTGTTCTGGTTTCACATTATGTAATCTCAATGTTGTGTTATCTTTTAATGAGATTCTATGTGTACATTCACACTTGGGCACTTACATACACACATAGACCCTCAGGCAAAAGTATGAGCTATTCACTCACTGATTAATTGTTTTTTCCTGTATTATACATGTTATTGCACTGAATGGATCTGCTTTACATACAAATTGATAGCACTCAGCTACAGCTTTAATGTAGTGTTTTATACTAAAGCTACACAACAATACTCTGCATTTACTGAATGAAAACCTCCCTAATAAACAATGTATTGAATGTGCAATGTGCCATTGTTTCATTATGATTAACTACTAACTAAATACATGGTATGGACTAATTTTTTTAAAGGCACGTTTCATTTTGATCTTTTATTTTCTGACAGTTTACAGCAAGCAATTGGTTGCTGACAATGATTTCTTTTTTTTTCATTCAATACATCTTATTTATATATTAAACTTGTGTTCCATTCCTGGTAGGGTTTCATTCTGTACAGTGTTCTGTGCAGTGGGTAAGGTTTGTAAAAATAACTTGTCATATTTGATTAAACTTTCACTATATCCTGACAGTACCACATTTTTCTAAAAGTTACCTACTGCAGCTTTAAGAACGAATTATTAAATATTAGATATAAAGAATTGGGTAAATCAGAGGCAGAGGCCAGTCAGTCGAGTGGTTTGAGAAAGCACTGTAGAGGGTAAGTCCTGTCAACGCTGACAATGCACACGCTTCCAGTTTTCCGTGCAAAAGATGTCTGATTGTGCCAATATGTATCCTTCGATGAGAGATGTATTTCAATCAGCAGAGACTAGTTGACAGATATAAAGCATTGATGGCAACATGTTAATTACATTTCTTTCTTTCTTTTGAGTTCTGTTGTTGAGAGGGAGCGATGAATATGACTGGCTGTGAATAAAACACACTTCAAAAGTAAATTAAAAACATTGAATTGGTGGGTGATGAGCAGGTATTACCAAATAGGAGTTATTATAAATTATAACCAAGAGTGTTATTGTACTGTCCTTATAATAGTATTGTTAAATGAGTGAGTTTTCTCAAGATAAAGGAATTAGAAAACATAGGAATATCCAACACCATTTCTGCCTGAAACAGCATGTGTGTCTGTGTGTGTTTATTTTATTATTCATTTATGGTTTATTTGATAGGGACAGATACAGTAAACACAGACAGACTGAAAACAGGTATCATTGTGTTTATGGAGGATGCTAACTCGCAACACCTGTCCCTAGAAGGGCTTTTATAAAAATAAGAGGTTAAAACAGGAAGGTAAAAAGAGTACACAGAATACAAAAAACACAATAACATATAAAACACAACAACACATAAAACACAGAATTAAAGACGACACATTTCAGAACTATACACGAGTACAGGTTTGTTGCTGTATTAACCAAGATTTGGTAGCTCTTAAAAGTTAGAGGCAAATTTTGAGAGATTAGGCAGCAATTCAAGGTATTTGCTCCTCTGACAGTAAAAGCTGTCTGAGCAAAATATGTTTTAATGTAAGTTTAGAATTGACACCAGCTCTACAGTCTCATGATGTATTTGCAGAGAGGCTGAGGGGCAAGTCTATTTAAACATTTAAAAACCAGCTTTACATATTAAAATTAATACAATTTGCAACGCCCAAGATTTTGTATTTCTCCAAAATGTGGCAGTGATGGTACCTTATTTGCTTTTTGTCCAAGATTTTCAAGGCCCGGTTGTAAAGCCACTCTATGGATTTAACTACAGACTGGTTGGCCTGGGACCAGGCAGTTAAACCGACATATGTGAGAAAATCATTGAATTTGCAAACACCAAGGCACAATCAAATGTCAAGTGATTTCTTTACACCTGAAAACAGCTAAGGCTAGCCTTAATGGTTTCATACATCACCTCTGCTACCTGTTCATTGAGCTCACTTTAAGGGATTCTCATGCAGGAAGCTTTATTTGCAATTTGTACAGGATCAGAGATAATGTCTTCCCCAACTTTGAGTTCATATTTATGACACTGACACTTAAATAGTTTTATTAAACTATTTAATTGTTTCCAAATTATATTACCATTTCCTTTAGCTTCCGTTAGGACTTAAAAATAATAATTTGAACAATTTGGCAATTTCTCAACTACCTGATTTCCCAGCCCTTTAAAGAAATGTAAGTCAATGTTATTTAGAGTTTTGAGGAAAGTTATCTAGTTAAAGTAATCTCTTAATAAACTGACTAACAGTATCACTTTACAATGGGAGCTGGAATTTTCTTTCTCACCTCTTGTGTTTGTTTAATAAACTTGTCAACATACTGGAAATCAATTTATTGCAGTGTTCATTTACTTGATTATGTGGCAGAGTGTGTCTTTTGATCTGAATCAGTATTCTCTACTTGGGTATCTTTTTCCATAATATTGTTGTCTTTGCACCAGAGGAAATTATACATGATCCTTATGTAATGCACTGACTGTATTGGTCCTGTTTGATCATAACTCTCTCTCCATTCAATATATGATATCCAATCCAATCCAACTTTATTTGTTAAGCACTTTAAAAACAACCAAAGTTGACCAAAGTGCTGTACAGGAGAATAAATAAGACATCATAAATGTAAACAGTGACGGTGATGATGAAGACCACTGTGAGGAACATAGACAGTGATGGCGACAACACTGGAAAGCCATCGTGGCAGACAACAGGGACGACGTCCGACGGCGACAGCTCGATGTCCGGGCTGCAGACGCTCTTTCACACACCGTGCCCGGCGTTACACCACCTGTTGTTTATGAGCACGGACAGTCCCCCTCCTTTCTTCATGCCGGTTGCGGTGCTGTCCCTGACGTCTCGAACCGTCTGGAAACCGGGAATGGTGACGTTGGAGTCCGGTATCTACTCGTGTAGCCACGTTTGTAGGGATTAAACCTCCTCTTCTTCATCCTCCGTTTAACCCCCGCTCTGCAGCCTCGCCGTCTCCTCAGCTCTCCGGTATGGAGGGTCTCTCTCCAGTCAGGTTGCTCGGGTACCTCAGGGCGATCATCTGGTCGCGGGTGTAACACAGGCTAAAAACAGTGAAAACACACTAAAACTACAACAATGATAGGAGCTGCCAAGACAGGCTGCCGTTGTCGCCGGCGCCATTCCATGGTTTTTCAATATATATATGTATCTATTAACTGTATGTTGCTGGCTGTTTGAGATGTTTCATTACAGCATACCTCACTGATGAAATTACCTGAGCTCAGCACGTTACTTAATTTAATAACACTTAAATCACCGGTGAATCGTTCAAATCAAAACAAACACATAAAATCAAACCTGTGCAGCTTTTCCTCCAATAACCTCTTGCTCCTTTTCATATATTGTGTACTACAGTGCCATCTAGTGGTAGTGTGTTGCACCTGCACAATACACAAGATGAGCATTGACAGTTTGAAACATTTTTTTTATTGAAAGATTTGTCTAAAAAGAAAACAAAAAAGAAAAGAGACATTTGAAACTACAGCAATATCCACTGGTTCTACAGAGACTCTCAGAATCACAATTTGAAAGACATGGGAGGCATGTGACCAAGCAAATAAAAAAATAGCATCATCAAAGTTATTTCTGTTGCATCTTCTTTTACACACCTGTACAAAAAAGATCTCATAAATATTACTTTTGTTCTCGCTTTCTCTACTTTCTCTCTTCTTTCAATAATTTATTTTTCCCATAGAGGTTTGTATCTGCTTGATTTTGGTTGAACCATGTTTTTTCTATGTGTCTGTCTGTTCCTCCATCTCCGTTAGCTTCCTTTCATTGGTGGAAGGTCAGGTAGGTGGGGCTTCAAGAGTGTGACCTCAGAGGCAATGTTAGCCAGTGAGAGTGTTTGTCTTTGTTTTTTTGTTCTCAACTGATGCCCTCTTACTCAATTCAAGCAATGCAGATTTTGCCAGATTTTACCTTTTTAAGAGAAGAGTCTGTTTTTGTGGGTTTTTTTAGGGCTGCAAACGGAAACATGTCTCTTCTTTCACTTGAAAAGAGAAATAAGACTTTATGATGCCTTTGACGCAGTCAAGTCATGGATAAAATTAAAAATTGTCCATATCTTGGCTTAAAATGGTCAATTGCTGTCATTTAGAGGTGTACCTCTTCCACACCCACTCAACACAAGACAACCTCAATCCTCAATAATGAAAAGTATTTAGCAGCTCACACATCATAATCAATACCCCGAAAGACAAAAAAGGCAACATAAAAAGAAAAAAGGGAAAACAAAATATATCTCCTTGTCCTTTTAGAATACACATAAGAAATGATTTTGTTCAACAGAAAATGCCCGTTCCTCTAACAGAGATGATTGCCCTGCTCACAATTTAAATGGCTTGTGTTTGGCAAGACAGCGGCGTAAAAGAGTTTGTTGTATGGACTGAAATCTTGAACATTTTGGCTAGGCTTCATAATGACTCACATCATCTCAGTGTCTGCATTTAGGGTTTGAGATTTTTGGGTGTATACACAAGTTTAAGAAGTACACACCAATATTCCACAGGATGAAATGCACTTTCAACCACTAAAGTATAGCATACCAACTTATAATATACCTACCTCCTCCACTTTCCACAGGTGTCTTGGCTGATGATACAGTGCCCCTTTAGATCATCATGTTTGATAATTTGACAAATAAAACATCTCAGAGCTAACTCTTCTGGTTGAGGCAGTTGTGTTAAAGACCTACTGCAAGTTCTCAGTCACTGATAAAATCATCGCACACACCAACAGCATGACAAGCTGGAAAAATGTCAGTTTCAGATGTGAAAAAACAAAGAAAAAGCAACATAAGGAAGATCTCTTCACTACCTAGTTTCTTCATCTTTGGTATAAAATATGCCACCTGTAGGCTGCTTGTTCAACAGTTAAGAAAGACTCAAGAAACTGTCAACAGTTTTACTAAAACTATTGCCTTTTGCACATTTAAAAATCCTAGCGTTTTTTTTTTCTTCTGCTTTTTGTCACAAATGGTCTTTTTTTACTTTTCTTTTTTGCAGTGAGACAAGCAAAGCCGGCAAAGCAAAAACTTTTTGATGGTAAAAAGATTGCCATCAGAAAACAAAAACAAGAAATACAAATGTGATGGAGAAACATAACTTTTATCCCATGATTAACCTTAACTGCATTTTCCAGGAAGCAGCAGACTGACCCTTCCCACAAGTCGCATTTAAGATTTTTTTTCCAACCAACCAACATCAGCTGCACTGCACCACATAATTTAAAATCATCATCATACAAATACAACCTTATTTTTTTATTCTGTACAGATAGCTTTGTAGATTTCATCTCTGAGGCCCCTGGGAACATACCAAGAACTACTAAAATCATTCAACCACTCAGTCTTATTTTTTTTTATAATTCAACACTATGGAAACTTTTTTCCCAAAGTTTGAGAAAATTAAGGCAATAAAGATTTACGAAAACATTGATATTCTAGAAAAACTACTCAAATAATAAAAAGAATGAAAATAATGTAGCTTAATATCAAAGGAAGACAATCTGTTTTTTTTCTAGACTTTGCTTCTTCCTTTTTTTAATAAAAAAGTCGGAAAATCTACCTGCACATTCAAATGTTCTTTTTTTCTGTACAGCTTGTTGGTTGAGTTTTTATTTCAGTCTATGTCTTCTCTTTTCCCTTTGGAGGCAAAGTCCAGTCTCACAGTGAGAAATGATAAACTCAAAGTTGTAGACTGCGTTTGATTTCATTGTCCTCAAGTTCAGCAAACCATCATTTCTTTTTTCTTGGTTCAACCAGGTAAGAAATATAATTGATTTTTTTCTTCATTTTGTCATTTATTTGGTGCCCGTGCACAGTGGAAGCTTTCTCCCCTCAGTGTTGCCCATGTCACCTCTTTTTTTTTTGTCCCCGTTTCATTTTAATTCTCTCTGTGTCTCCAGCGCCTCAGTGCAGTCCTTCTAAAGGCAATGCAGCAATGATTCCCACCAATCTTGTTATCTAAAGGAGAAAGAAAAACAAGTCAGTGAAAAAAGGTTATTCGAGGAAATGGTTGACAATGGAACAGTTTCTACAGCAGGCACAGCATTCTTTGTGCAACTGCTGTGTGTAAAGGAAACCATCAGCAGATTATCTAGGAGGCTGAAAAACAGGCAGAAAAAAACAGCTGGAGAAAGATAAGAGTGTTTTACAAGCAAAGGTTGACATGATTCTGTAACCAAAACAACACAACAATTGGCTTTACATTCTGTCTGTGCAACAACTATACACTGTAGTCTTCTCCAGCTGATTATTTACAGACCTACAAATCACAACCTTAGCAAGCATCAACATGATGTTCCTCTCTCTATCCGGTCTTTTCCATGCACATACGCTAAATGAAAGGTTAGCTTAGCATAAAGACTGGAAGCAGGAGGAATATATTGTTTGTTTTAAGGACCAGTGTGTAGAATTCAGTGGCATCTAGTGGTGAAGTTGCAGATTGCAACCATCTGAATACAGCTCAGCCTTCCACACATGTGGGATAAACTACAGTGGCTGTGAAATTTCCAAAAAACGTGAAAGGCACGGAGGAAAAAGTGGATGAGTTGCAATCTGGTGTACACCACTAGATGCCGCTAAATTATACACAACAGACCATTAAGTGTGAAAATGACAATTTGTGGTTTGGGGGTATATGTGCCAGTCTGTTCCTAAGCGATGCATGGTGACAATCAGGCTCAATCAGACAATCTGTTTCCCACTGCTTCCAGTCCTCCATTCCATTCATTTAAAGGTCCAATGTGTAGGATCTAGTGACATCCAGTGGTACAGTTGCAAATAGCAACTCTGTCGCTTCAAGCGTGACGGGGAAACTACGTTGGCTGCACAAAATTGAAACACCCCTCTCTAGGGCCAGTGTTTGGTTTGTCCCTTCTGTGCTACTGTAGAAACAATTTCCACTATAAAAAAAACCAACATATTGTTGTGTTTTGAATGAAAGAGTTGTGTATTTGTCCTGATAAATCTACCTGCAAAAAATATTTATGGCATATCTAAGTAAGGTTATCACATAGAGTGCTGCATCCATCCTCCTTTCTACTTGCCATCCAATTTCAACAGAACTTGCCATTACTGTTTTCAACCATTTAAAATAATGGAACAAAACTTGACAGTGCAACTCAGGAGTAATATAGCAATAACTCTCTATACAGCTGAACCAGCTATTTACAACACTCACTCACTCACTTCGACTGCTGGTAAGAGTAGGCTGTGGCATGATCTCCTGTATTCTCCACTGATAAAGGCTGCTGCCCACTGGCGTCCTGCGAGGAGGGGGCGGCTGTCTGTGGAGAGGGGTCTGTCACCACGCCCTGACACCAGAAACACAGTTACAGAAACAACTCAAATCTGAACCTTTATTATACTGTTAGGTTCCCCTTCAACCTTTCAACCTCAGTAAAAATTGGTGGTGGTATAATAATAGGTGAACTAAAGACTCTCCTTCCACAAAGCACTAAAAAAAAGTTCACTGAAAACCTCCAAAAAGTTTAGCACAGAGAAAAATTCCCTTGGTATTGATTAAAAGTGAAGTCCACCTTCTTCCGGCAGACTCCGTTTAATTTCTGGTGCTCATTTTAGAATTCGATAATAGGTCCTCTGGCCTTTGGGAATTGAGTACAATTAGCGGCAATGTCTCTCCCTGAATCACACAGAACCACAATATGATTCTGATTTTATTTAAGCTTGTAGTTCCCTCAGTGGCAATGAATAGGTGCCTCTTAGAATATCTACCAAATACAGCAAACTACAGCATCATTTACTAACATTTAATTTATATGTGACTTAAAGTGTATATAATGATCAATACTCAAGTCATCCCTGTAAAGCCCTATATAGGATGCTGTATTAAGTTGGTATTAGAAGTAACAAGAATAAAGTCAATAAACAACAACTCATTTTGTCCTTACTTCCACTGTGATGGCAGAGGCAGGCACTGCAGTGTACTGGGGAATGTAGGTTCCTTGCATAGGAGCAGCGGCTGCAGCAGGCATGTACTGCAGAGAGAAAGAGGGGCACAGGCAGTATTATAATAAACAAACCACATGTCCTCTGGGATATCTGGATCTGATATTCCCTGAGACATTGTTGTTTTTTGACATTTCAGAATACATCACATAATATTTAGGCTTGGTCCCAGGCAGGGATGTGTCCATATTTTTTAAACTGGGGTGGCACAAGTCGGGTACTGACTTATGCAGGGGTATGTGTCTCAGCTTTCCAGTCATTCCCAGTGTATACAATTCCTATATTGTTTAGGGACCCCAGTATCCAGAAATATTCAAATGCACTAGGCGAAAAAACACACTTATACCACATGAAAAAAACTGCATGGGAGCAGCATAAAATGGACATGTCTGTAACGTAAATATTTCTGTGTGTGGCTAAGTGTTCTTTCTTATCAGGATGAACCGTGCTGTGAGATAATTTAAATTACAGCTAAAATCTCTACTGACTAATTATATAAAAGGTATTACAACTCAAAAGATAAAACACACATGCATCCAGAGCAAAATGCTGAGGACGAGGTAAAAGCTGACACTCACTGTGCCTGTAGTGCCCAGAGACAGGTGGTTCATCTGCTGGGTGAGGGGAGCCATTACACTGGAGGGGTGCAGAGACAGACTGGGCTCGATGGCCGTGGCTGGGGTGATCACAGCACCCTGAGGCAGGAAGGAAGGACACATGATCGGCTGAGTTATAAACAGTGTTGTAACCATTAAGCATTACATGACAGGTAACCAATGAGATCAATGAAACACACAACAAGCACTGTTTATGAAATTCAGCTGAACTACAGTATTTACACCGATCACAGAAGGAGGAATATGAAGGTATAGCGGAGGAGGGGAGGTTGAAGTGGGAGAAATGTGGAGAGGCTAGAAAGGAGAGATATGGGAATTGGAGTATGAATAAGAGAAAGGCAATGACCTTAAACTAAAACTAAACCTAAAACTAAGTTATGTGGAAATAAGATGGATCTGAAGAGAATGGAGTTTTTAAAGGAATAGTTTTGGGAAATACCCTTATTTAATTTCTTGACTTTTGAGGATTGATAGCACTCTTTCTTTGCTAAACATGAATCTTCAGAAAGGACACAGTTAACTTAGCCTAAGGACTGGAAGCAACAGCACACAGCTAGCCTTTGATCTCTTCACAGGTAAAATCCACCTATATTAGAAGCACCTCTAAAACCTCACGAATGCATTGTCTTTTTTATTTAATTTGTACAAAAACAAAAAAATTAAAATGGCAACTCGTGGTTTTATGGAGGATTATGTTTGTATGTAGTCGGGCATAGTGATCCACTGAAGAAAGTTACTTAACAAATTAGATATGTTATATTTATATATATATATGTTATTTGTGAATTTTAGAGGGGGTGCTAGGCATATTTCTTTTACTATGAGCTTCATATTTACTGTGACCTTTAGAACTCAACGTGCTCACTGAAATGGGGAACGATTATGTTTTTTATGCTATACAGCTGAACAAGACATTTGTTAAAGACATTCAGATAGTAGAAATATGTAAGTAGCAGAAAGACTTCCAACCCAGTTAAGTTTGATGACTGCAAATGGTTTGACTTTGCAGTCAGTCAGTGGCTTGCCAGGCAGGCTTGACAGAACATGCCTCTGAGTGGAGCAGAAAGGCTTTTACTGTAAATCTCTTCAATGTGAAGGGCTTTGATGCCTCCTAACACCTTGATGCGCTGAGCTCTACGCTTCCAGTACAGCTCTGCTACAGACTCAACAGCTCTGTATAGATTTAATAGGAGACTCCACACACTGTGTGCTGAGATGCCTGGCAACTTCCCTCCAGAAGTAAACACTGTTCATTTGTGATAGCTGTTTAACTACACTTCCCATGAGCACAGACAGCATCAGCGGATATGTGTCGGTATCGCTCCGGAGAGCAGTCAGCACTTCTGTAGCTGCACGCTGAGACAGGATGTTAGAAGAACACAGGTATTAAGTTTAGGTATTTTAGGCACAAGCCCAGCTGTATGGCAGTCGTCTTATCAGCTCTGTAACTGTAGGGTTTCATACAGGAGGCTCACAACCGCACATAGGTAAACACACAGTTGCAAATCTCCAAGCGAAGATCCTTATGTCTGCAAGTTTCACAAGGAGGCACACACACACACACACACACACACACACACACACACACACACACACACACACACACACACACACACACACACACACACACACACTCACAGTATAGACAGGGATTGTCAGAGCTGTTAACAGTAGTGAGTGCTCCTCATCCTGACTGCTGTCTTCACAGGGAGATCTTTTTGAAGTATGCAGCCGCCTGGCTATCAGAAATGCTCTGTCAACAATGTCAATGACTGGCACTTTTCTACACACATGCACACTCGCTCACATGCCGTATATATACACACACTCAGAGGCATCCACACACAGATGTATCAACAGATCTACCCACAAACCTGCACAAAGCCTTGGCTTCGGCAGGTAGATTTAGCAGCCAGAATCTAGCTAATACCCAGGCTTTTCATCCATCTATATAATACGTACTCTCGTTTAATGATTTCTCATCCTCCCCTGCTCTTTCTCTCCCTTCATCCAATCTCACAGCAGGCTTCCATGCAGAAAGAAAGCTGCATGAAGCAAAAGGAAACCCACAATGACTAATTGTCTGCTCTGATTCATAGCTGAACAAGTGTTAAACTTGCTGTCTCTGTGTGTGTCTGCATGTGGACATTATGCATTAGGTGGTGTGTGATAAGTGTCCACGCTGCAGAGTGAGTGTATGTGGTAATTTTTTTTTTGTGTTTTGAAGACGTTCTTTTCCTGGGGTAAACAATAATTGAGTGTGCAAGACAGACAGTTATCTATTCCCCGAGGACAGGAGCGAGAGAAAAATACAAGATCTGCTTCAACTTTGAACTCGCTCTTTCTCTCCTCTCTTCCTCACTCTTCTTTTGCTGTCATTTTTCCAGTAGAGAAGTGAAGCTGACAAGCAAAATACTACAGGCACTGTGCAGCATCAAATACATAGTATTAGTGATAATGACATCCATTTAACGAGAAAACCACTGACTGCTGCTGGTGTCACAGGAGCTCTGTGCGTGGGAGCATGCAAAAGGAGAACCAGCATTGTATGTTCTGTATGTTCTGTATGTTCAGGTGGCATGGTCCCAGAATACAGATGTTTGTATTATTTTACAAAATGATTTTCACTGCTGAAACTACCTTTTGACCTTCTGAAACACATACGATGTTACAGGACTACAAGAAGTAAAAATACAGGTAATGCTGTGTTCTAAACCCTAAACATGCCCCAACATGTACGCGTGGGTTCTGCAAAGTTACAGGCACACATAGGATCCCAGCATAAACAAAGACGTACAGTATTTGGAGGCTCAGATATGTACTGATCTGTGCTGTCTCCTGACACATTCTTAACCCCTTTTGTCTCCACAAATGAGTTTAACATGGCAATTTAACTCAGGAAGATCTCAAATCCCAATTCTTTGGATGTCTCATTACAGCCCTCCCCAATAAGCAGCCTTTCCTTGTCTTTCTTGCTATGCATGGTTAGGGTAATGCATTCATTTCCTGTAGGGGGATTTGTGAGTAATTATGCACAAAGACATCCTCTCACTAATTAGGATGTAAAGACAGGGAGTTCAAGTAATCTGGGCATTCCACCAAGGCTCTGAAACACACGGTCCTTAAGGCACTCCACTTTGTGTATAGGTATGCTTGTGTGTGTCTGTCTGTGTGTGTGTGTGTGTGTGTGTGTGTGTGTGTATATCTGAATTAATTTGAGAGAGTGCATACTTATGCTTGTGTCTGTGTGTGTGTGTGTGTGTGTGTGTGTGTGTGTGTGTGTGTGTGTGTGTAAATATAGCTGTGTGACCTTCTTAATTCCTTGGGAACAAAAACAGCACTTAGCACTGTTTTTATTTCTCAGTCTAACCTTTTAATTAGAGTCATTAACTTCTTAAGGCACCATGTGTCTACAGTGTGCATCTGTAAAACTATGAGCATTTGTCAGCGATCCAAACAGCAACCTCCCAATTTTGGTATCACAAACTTGTAAAAAAAAATTGTATGTTTGATTGTTGACTGAGTGATTAGCAGATACGTGCTTGTGTGCAGCAACCTAAATGTGTCAATGAGCACACACCATCAATCAAAGTTACCAGTCATTAACTTTGGTTCAGCAGTGAGGAAGCTTCTGCTACCATAGGAACAGAATTAAGCCGCTGTGTCTCTTTCAGTCTCCCTCCCCGTCGCAGCTTTAATTTGCCAAGCTCTTCTGTATCCAGGAAATACAATGACTAGCCTTCGCCTTTGTTGTCTAACAGGGATTTTGTCTATGCAGAGACAAGGCTGGGGAACAGGCACGCACAGCCCAGACATGCTTTTGCAGCAGTTGTTTTCTTTTCTTTGTTCCCGATTGATTCTTTGTAATCCCTGCTTTCCTCTCCTTTCCCTGCGCCTGCCTCTTTCCCCTGTCCTCTCTCTGTCATACACATGGCTCTATTATTTATTTATTTTCTCTTTCTTCAGTCCCTTATTCTCTCTCCGCTTCTCCCAAGTCTTACGAAGTCATATCAAGCCGCCTGCCAAATAATTAGACGGGACATTTGTTTGAAAACACATTTACAGAAGGGTATTATCCTCTCTCACAAACATAATTTTAATCAGACATGACAACAGAATGTTTTTAGGAGTTGGCGGATAGAGACAAAGTGGAAGACAGATAGAAAGAGAGAACTAAGGGGGAGCAACAGAATTTGGAACTAGTTTAACTATTTGTGTGACAGTATTTGATGGAATCCCTCAGTTTGTGGCTTATATGCCATATCTGTGCTGCCTCTATTTCTCATATCCGTACAGCTGACACTTTTAATGGAGCATAACTGAATTTTGCATGTGTAAAATAGTCTGCAGATGTTGGCAAGGCGCCAACTCATTAACACTTGCACACAGATAAAATCTGTCTTGAATATTGTCTTTTTGTAAGAGAAGCCAACTTTATTTAATCTTATAATAAGGAAATCTTCTTCCATTACAAAAACACCCTGGAGGATACAGTGTCATCATGGGATGTCCTGGCTGTATAGGTAATGTGGCATGTCTGAAGGCTGAATGGCCATGATCACTGACTGTTGTTTGTTCTTTACAGTGATGTTTATTTATTTCCCCTTCATATGAACCTGTGTGATTAAAACTCATGGGTCCAAAAATGTAATTAATGTTTTACAAGCAAGTTTAATGTGTTTTTTTTCTGAGTTAATATAAAATGATTAATGCACACTGTACATGAGCAGAGTGGAACTGTGACCTACTGATGGATAAATGTTAAAGAGCTAATAAAGGCATATTTCCATCTGAAGCACTTTCAAGGTTGTTGTATGACCCCTACATGAATTATATTAATGTTATCATCTATTGAAACTGCTGTATTGAGAAATCAACTAGTGAATGAGGGTGAACAGCATTCTTGTGCCAGACATGGTACCAATGTACCTCAATGTACCTCCAACAATTAAAGACAGGTCCCGCTTCTGGATGAAGGTTTCAAGATTTGATACTGTATGTTAGAGTAGTTGCTGTTATGTCAGGCAGACAGGGCAACAGCTGAGGCTTTACATTAAGCTCTGAGCGAAGCCTGTAGAGGCTCAAGGTTCAATCTCCTGTTACTATAGCTGTGAACAGCCCCTGGCTAAAAGCAAAGCAAAGCTTTTTGTGTCAAGGTTGTGTCTGTGTGTGACAGAGTATAAGAGGAGAAGAAAGAGAATCTGCAGGTGGGTGTAGATTTACAGTGCATATTGACTGTACAACTTTTGTACATTCACAGTCAATATTACATGGGTATATGTGTAAATATATGGGGTGGGTTCAGACAGACAGACAGACAGTTTAAATCATTCAGGGGTTAGGTCTCCAGCCAGACACAAACCATAGATTTTTATATTACTGTAGTCTATTATACTGTATCTTGTACCTGTAGGTAGGTTTTTGCATGTGCATGTATCACCATACAGATATCATATCAGTAGCTAGTCAGCACTGACTTTAATATCAGCATTCTGTTTACCACTACACTTGTGGAAGTCAGATTACTACCTGCAGTTGTATTTCAAGCCAGCAGGGAGCAACCTTTTATTATGGATTTCAGACTGTGCTCCGCTGAGCTCTTCGAGCTGCTTTAAGGAGGTTATTCTCAAGCTGATTCAGCAGGGTAGGACTCAGATGCAGGGATAACGTGGGTTTGGCTCTCATATGCTGCAATTGTTGGAAACTGTGTGTCCCTTTTATTACTTGGCTTATTGTAAATTTTCAGTGACTTAATCCATCATTTGCACTGATATATGAGATAAATGCAATTATAGCCAGCATTATAGCACATACAAGACCTAAGGTCTCTAAGATGAATGACTTTGTAGTTTTTGTTAATAAATCTTCTGGCAGACAATTTGACATACGTTCACATTACTTATCAAACTTTTTCAAATAAGCATTACTGTGAAGAATCTCAAATGTTTTGAGATTACAAACTAAGAAGTGCATGAGGAGTAAATGCTGAGACATATTACATGCAGTGATGACAGGCAGGAATGTAGTGTAAGAAAGAGGCGGTGAAAAGTTTTGGAAAATGAAGAAAATTAGTCCACTGGGAAAAGATAACGTATTACACAAAAAACAAAGGAGAGGCTGGTTCAAAAACATACCGTAGGTTGCATAACATACTGTTGATGTGGCATCCAAGATGTACTCTGGACCTGTGTTGAAGAAAATAGAAGAAAAGAGAAGAGAAGATCAAGCAAAGGTAGAGGTGATGACAACGATATCAGAGATGACGAAGGAAGTAGAAAGAAGAAAGATGGAGAGAAGGAAGAATGAAAGGATGAGAAAAATAAAGTAATTAAGGAAGATGGGGATGGGCATGAGTAGGAGGATGCAGAAGGGAGGTCAGGGGAGAGAGGAAAGAGAAGATCAAAAAGAAGATTGTTAGAAGTGGATAAAGAAAGAAGGACAATTGTAAGACAGAATGACAAGAAGGGAGTGAAAATGAGAAAACCAAAGAGGAGAAGAGAGAAAATTAATCATTAACTCAAGTCTTTACAAGCCCATTTCAGAGCATCAGTCCCTGTGGCAGTGTGTCTTAAAGAATAATACGGCAGTAACCGAGGGTCCACTATGCAGTATGTTATGTTGTAATTATAAGAGGATATGAAGACCACAGAGAGCAATACAGTCTAATAATTACTGCTTCACAGTGGAGGTTTCATCATCAAAGCCTGTCTTGGCCACAAATCATCACTTTCATCTCCTTCTGCTACCCACTGCCCAACCCTTACATGAGGAGGAACAAGTCCCTGATGGTTCCTTTGTCACATGTACGATAGGGTATGCACATATATAGCAAATACATGTGTGCATGTGTATGCTCGCTCACCTGTGTCTGTCTATGGGGAGTTAGGGTTAGTTTTCCACAAAAAGCAGGATGTGGTTGTGTCTCTGGGTGTAATATTGCACTGCTGAAGGTGTGTCTTTGCATTTGTCTTTCTCATTTGTTTCAACCTGTGGGGGAGGACTGGTGTTTGTTTTAAAGTCTGTGTGTTTGACAAAATAAGGATCAAGCACTGAGTCAATCTCCCAAAGAACCACAGCTACACCGCCAACCAGCTTTGACATGAATTGGTTTGGTTTGTGTTTGTGGAAGAGAGAGGATGCAACACATGGGAACAGAGAGAGAGAGATAAAAGGAGGATTTGTGTCTAAAATGAAAGATTGATGGTAGGAGTGTTGCCATATAAGCCTGTGTTTTATCATTGCTAGACTAAAAAATGTCTTGAAATGAGAGAGCTGATAACTCAATTTTCCTTGATCTGCATTGTATGTACAGAGACGTCACCAGAGACTTCACACAAGACAACAATAATAAATTAATAAAGTGGTTAATTCTACATATTTTAAATTATTTTTTAAATCAAAGACCAGTGGTGCTGTAGATAGGATCAATTAAAACCATTCATTACATATTTTACAAATATATGTAATGCCACTGCTGCCAAGTGCTCATGGTGGAAATATAAGGAGTACAGTCTAGCCCTACTCTATATGAAAAGTGTCCTGAGATAACTTGGTTATGATTTGGTGCTATACAAATAAAATTTATTTCAAAAGCCCTGTTCCCACATAACTTCCCTTAAGATGAGGCAGCTGTTATTCTATATATTTCTTTCTGCCAGAAAATCCCTAACCTGACATACCAGACCCATCTGAGAAGTCGTTGTTGGAAACGAAAAATGACGAAAAGATCAGGCACTTTAAAAAAAAAAAAAAACCTGGCAGGTGACTGGATCAACCATCATGTCAATCAACGAAATGCAAAGAAGGAGGCAGTGCAACAATTGATTTTTTGATAACAATTGAGCTCTATGGCACATTGCAAATAAGCTGCATCAGGCTTTGTCATCACAGAGAATACTTGTAAGTGGGACCATCTTATTTTTGGTTTTAGTCTTGCTGACAAGAAAAATATGGAATATCACCAGACCTTTCCTTTGCAACCACTGATTTATAACTCCAGCCACATGTATTCCTATACTAAGTTGTTAACTTTACTTAAGTTACTACTGCTATTGGTTGCATTTTTTCCCTGTTGGAATGCAATATTGGAGCTGTGTCTGTCTTTGAACATTAGTTGCTTTGTTAAATCTATTGGCTGGCTAGCAAAGTCAAAATGCATGTTTGATGATTGAATCTGGGTACTTTGCAGTAGTTGCTACATGATCAAAACAAAAATCAATCTAGACACACAACTTCTGTACCTTATTAGACAGGGGCAGGGGCAGGGGCAGGGGGCATCTTGATTAGCCCATTGGAAGGCTAATCAAGATGCCCCTATCCATTTCTAGAGCCCTTACAGGCCTTCATTGCTTGGTCTAAACCAGCAAACTTTGAAGAAGGTCCACCCACCTGATATGTAGAGACAGGAGAGGCAGCGATGAAGGGTGTGATTGATGTCATCCGATTGGTGGAGATGCTGTATGGTGAAGAGTAAAACCTAAGGAAGCAAACAAGAAAAGGTTTCATTTCCACATTGTCAATATCATCAAACTTGGAAGTGGAATAAAACTGAACCAAGACCATGTTAAAAGACAATGTTGACAAAAATGTAACACCAGTCAAGAGGCTTCTCTGCAGGTACAGTCTGAGCACTCTGTAGCTCCATGCAAAGGTGAAAATGAGCCTTTTGTACCTTTGTTTTCAACCACCCAGTAAACTTCAAGACACCACTGACAAAATGGATCAGACATCATCAAGGCTGTCATGGAAACAATAAATATTGCAGCTTCACTCTGTGCCACACCATCAAAGACATCTTAGAATGAGACTTGACACCACACCGGAGTACACATCATGTTACAAAGGAGTCTGCTCCACTGCTGTGCATAATAATGAATTATCACCTTAATGTGTGAGTGGGTGATATATTTCAACATTACCCTGTATGTTCCCACCCACGAACATATTCCACTTGGCAGAGAAAGCTGTATCTTAAACATCTGCATTTGATACTCTGTTTACTTCTCTTCCTGTACCTTTGTTTGCCCTTCTGATTCTGCTCCATCTCTCTCTCTCTTTTTTTTTTTTTCATTTCACCCCCTCAACCCTGCGGCGGTAGAATGCTGTGGCTCGCAGAGCTTTATTTATCATTGTGTACCTAGAGAGGACATGTTTCATCCGCCAGGCCGTGTTGCTGTGCCCGATCGATCCCAAAGTGTCTGTTGACTGAATAATGGAGCAAGGGATGGGAGAAAGAGAGGGGGAGAGAGGCAGAGACAGAGAGAGGCCTTCCCCCATCTCTATATCTAACACAGCCATGAAAAGCTACTTGCCACAAATCAAGAGTTGCTTAATTGGGGGAGAAAAGTACTTAAATAACAAACACATGGTTGGTTTACTTTTAAAGGTTACTTCAAACTACTTCTGACGAATATAATATTCTTTAACATTTGCTGTGTTTTATTTCTAAATATCTGTATCACACATAATAGAACATACAAAATTCACTCTGTTCTTTCAACTGAGATGACAGTCAGACTCCAAAGGCAGGAAAACGTGGATGGATTGGTGCTACTCCACTGTGACACCAACACACATCTCATCTCAAGGGTGAAATGGGTTGCCGGGGTGCCCACCTGTTCTGTTATTGCACTTTCTGTTTCACATTACATTTGTTCAGTCAGTGATAGCGTGAGCAGTTTTGAACTCAGCTGCAAGATGCAAACCCTAAGATATTTTTAAACTATTACACTCTGGGTCTTGTGGATGCAGTTGGTCTCCAACTGCCTGCGATAAGCTCCAGAGCATGATTGTGCTTCAAACGGACATCCAGCTCCTCTGTTGGATTTTTTATGCTCTATTTTGTGTGTTCAAGCAGTTGCACATAAAGAGTAGAGCTACAATGGTTACTCTTCTTTTCCACAATTGTGTGGTTCACTTCCTTGGCACCAGAAAAAGGAATCTCATGAATCATTGGCACTATATAATTTTTCTTGCCAAGTTTCAGCTTTGGATTATACACAGGCTGATTGTGTGTTCTATCTTAGGTGTGTTGACACTGGCTCCACATACTTAGATTCCCCTTTAACTCCTTGAAGAGACACAGCTTTTCTTTAACTTTTCTTCAGCAACTTTCAACTCTGGCTTATCTGAATGTCTACTTGAGTTTTCTTCAAATAAATTCTCTAATCATGTTTGTCTTTGAGCATTCAATGATATGTTTCAACCTCATACATCACTTGAAAAGTCTGAACAGATATATAGTGGATGGATCTAGGTTGGAGTAAGACACGTGTTTGTCAAAGTAGTGATCAGAGACGAGAAGAAAAAACCTCTATCTTTTCTCTTCTACTGATCATGTAGCAGTATGGATCCATCTTTTTTTGGCTGTACAATTAATGTATGACTTGCATTAGAGATACTGTATTACTGTCACTGATGAATACAAATGAGCGAATGCAACCGGGTTATTCAATATGGTTCTCTGATTGTGTTTATTGTATTTTTCATTAGAGTGATGTGTATTGAGAGAGAGAAATAGTAGATAGAGGACAGATCCAAGGTTATTGATGGAGGCTATTAGTCCTGAGCAGCACGCTGTCAATAGGGACTCCAGCATGGCTGTTTAAACAATACACTAAACATGTAATTGCGAACAGAACATTACTACAGGATTACATTTAAAACCTCTCTGTGAATCCCTGGTGTGACCTAGCCGCACTGTCAGGAGTTTGCTCTGAAAAATTAGCGAATGATTTAGTGCCGACCTCAGTGACTTTTCAGCTGAGAAATGTGGGGGAGCATGCTAAAAAATACATGTGCATGTGTGGGCAGGAGAGAAGGACAGAAGAAAGAGAGGACAGATAGAAAGGCAGAGTAAGAGAGGTAAGAACAAAGGCGGGGGAGAAAGAGAGGGAAGGATGGAGAAACAAAATGACAGCAAACAGACCAGATAGGAGGTGGGAGATTGAGAAAAAGAGACCCAGAGAGAGTGAATTTTGTGTTTCCCTGATAAAAGAGAGGACAGGCTGTAAGCCAAAGCAGTCTGGCCGGTTGGGACACATGTTTCCAATAACATCAGATTGGCATCAGACCCTAAAACTAGCCGTCGTCAAGCTTGGACAGACTCGCAAACCTGTAATTGATTCGTGCCCTTTCCCTATCCTTGGGCTGACTTTATTTTTGCCTTTGCCCTCCTCCTGACCCCGCCCAGCCCTCCCTTTTTATTCAACCCTCTTCCCTCCCTGCCTTTTGCCTCTCTAATTAGCTGCATTAGCATTTCACAGTCATTTAGTGCTTTGCCGGAAGGAGCTCCGATGACCTCGGAAGAGAGGTTGGAGAGGGCTTAAGCACCACGAGCGCACAGATGCTCGCGTGTGAGCATGCATTTACACATTAACGAGCATGCACACATTCACAAAAGAGATGACCAGAAGTACAGCATCTGCTTGTAAATGGAGAGTAGGAATTAGAAGAATAAAGGGACGAGGAAAGACAAAAACATGAAGAAGAACGGGAAGAGCAAAAAGAGCCAAAAACAGTTGGAAGAAATTTAGGATAAGGATCAGGAAAACAGAAGATGATTTAAAGGTGATATGAAAAAGGTAAAGGGAAGTAAAAATGCGTAGAGCACAACAGGGCAACAGTAAAGAAGAAGAGGGAAAGCAGGGACACAAAGAGTAAGGACGACCGAGCTGACAAGTAGGAGGAGAAGAGAAACACAGAGCTGGAGGGAAACGTCTCCTGGGATCGCATCACTAGCAGCATTCCTAGCAGACAGGACCGATCTCCAATTTCCCCCTGAAACAGGCAGACACTCTCCTCTCCGCATTCAGCCTGAGAGCACTGCAGATAGCCTCGGCTGACGAAAGTCTTACAGCGGCACTGCAACACCGCCCAACTTCCCTGTCTGCAATCAAAACCCACATGTCTGACAGCTTGTATGCATAGGTGCATAAATAAATGCTCCATGTGCATCAGTCAGATGTGAGAATGAGGGCGAGAGCGCGATAGGGTAAGACAAAAAGTGTGTGTGTGTGTGTGTGTGTGTGTTTGGTAATGGCCTGTGTATCCTGTATCTGTTTGAATACTGTATGTGTGTGGACTCCTCATTTGCATGCAAGTGCTCTTGTGTATATCAGTGCTGATGGTTGGCTCATGTGTGTGTTCATCTCTGCAGGTTTGCTGGTGTGAGAAGGTGACATCCTGTAAAGGCTCATAAACAGTAAAGTTCGTAGACATCTAAAGTTTGTAAATCTGAGAAGAAAATGCTCCACCTACCCGTTCTGCATGGCGGTAGGATCATACGTCAATGCCATACCACTCTGGAGAAAGAGATAAAGAGAGAAACACTTAAATGTTAAAATACTAGATATGCCTTTTGAATCATTTGCATTTATAAGTGAGATTTTGATGTGTAAACAATTATTCGGTGGTGTAAACTGCCATTAAAAAGTTTTCCTCTGGCTATTAGTTATGACAAATGGTCATGCCAATGATGGTGATGAATTGAGAGGGGGAGAGACAGTAGAGAAAGCAGAATGATTTGTGATGTTAAATAAAAGCTATGACTTAGAATTCAACAGTATAAACAAGTGAGTGGAATACAAAGACTAAATAAAGAGCAATTGATGTCCTTAGTAGCACTAAAAACTCAAATTAGCAAGTTAAAAGCACTTATGTTAAATACAATTATTCTGAATGATTGGGTGTGGGCCTGTGGAACACTTAAAACTATAATTATGTTCATAAATACTCAGATACAATAACAACAAAAAGGGAATTGTTGGGATGTTACTGCATAATAGAGACCAGAGAATAGAACACAATGAGTTCCTGGTTCAACATAATCACAATATTTTGAACTAAGTCTGGCCAAAAACAACATATGAGTGTAGAAGACTTCTTATTTATTGCTCCTTAGTCATTAAATGTGCAAAAATGTTTCATCCCAGGGTGCCAGGTTAGCTCAGTGGGTAGAGCTGGCGACCCATGTACCGAGTCTGAGTCCTTGCTGCAGCGGCCCAGGGTTTCGAACCCGACCTGTGGCCCTTTGCTGCGTGTCATCCCCTCTCTCTGTCCCCCTTTCCTGTCTATCTTCAGCTGTCACCATAATAAAGGCAATAAAAGCCTTGTTTCATCAATGTTTCATCCCTGTAAGTGTTCAAATAGATTTTGGTAGAAAATTAAAATAAGGTCAAAATATGAATAAGCTTGTTTAACAAGATGATCCTTAGCTATATACAAATGAATAGAAGAAGTGTCTACATGAGCATGTCCTGAATGAAACACAGATCACATTTCTGAACTTGGTTGGACTGACTTTCTCCAAATGTTACAAACACATTTTTTCCAAACAAATATAGTAAATGCTGCTGTTGCATTTAACAACATAAAGGGATATTTAGAGGTGGAATATATGCACACAAAGTCAATAAAAAGACACATTTGGTGGGAAACAGACATAAACCCACGCTGGACGTCATGATCTGCAGGGAAAGCACATCTGCTTGAGCTAGAAAAAATTGTAATTGAGTGAAAAGGAGCAGTTATTCAATTGCATGGATGTGTGACAAAGGAGCAGAAAGGAGACAATCTTGAGGAAAATTGAGAGAAATGTAAGTTCTTGGTAAGTTTTGAAATGAGTCTGTTGGAGCTGTCACACACATAGTTGGTGTTTGTTGTCAAAGCAAACATCTGTACCGTCAGTTAGGAAACTGACAGTGGCAAAAAAAAAACAAAAAAACACACCAAATCTACTCAATCAGTCAAGTTTTGGAGCCAACTGTAAATATTTACTTAATATTGTGCTCCAGTTTGCAGCTTGAATATACTGTAACCGTTTTGATGACCATGATACATTGGAAGAAGTGGGCACCATACTGTAATTTTCCTATAGCAATCTCTGCCAGGCACAGGGCTCAGTTATTACCACACTATCCAGTAAAAATTAATAGAAAAAGGTTTTGCATTCCAGCTGCACTATATCAGTATCAGTTTAAATTCAAAACTACGAGAGCGTATTTTAGTTGCTAAGTATTCTCTGTCCCTCTCCCTCTTCATTAAATGTTGTCCCTATTAAGTCAAGTGCGTATCATTAAGTGACACTTTTTTTCTTTGTGGCTCACTTTCTCTATCATGTTCAAATCAATGAGAATGTATTTCTCGCTGCTGAATTTGAAAAAGATCTTCATCCATTTGACTGCCTCTTGGCAATGTTGGAACAAACTTAAAGCAACAATAGTGTCTTAGTTCTCTAATCTTTATTTTTTGCTCTGTCGCCGCCTCCCCCCCCTCTTCTATCTGTAGCCCTACATAAGTAATTTGTACTTGTTCTATATTCCACAAAGATCTCTTCTTTCCAAATTGGCACATGAGTTGAAAGTGTGCCCTGATGCTGAACTCAGTGTTTGGTTTCCCCCAAAATACTGTTTCTTGCCAGGACTGGGGGGAAAAGAGACTGCAGAAGCAATAAAAAAGGAGTGCCAGACATTGATGACATCAAATAGAAAACATTTATCATTCCAAAGCCCATGATCATTCTTATACAAACATCAGATTTTTACACATATGAAAGAATCCTAGTTTTGTATTTGTATTCACTGTTGGCTGCCCGTCGATCTGATGAATGGTCATTTTTAACAGAAGATTTTTGAGCCAGAGCTGTAGGAGATCTGCTCTGTGAAGCATATAGATGTTTGCATCTTGTCCTCTAGGTTTGCCATCATCTGACAATGGACAACAACAATACTGGACAACTTTCCAAAGCATCTTTGTTGGAAAGACAAAACAACTACAAATATAAAACAATGACAAAGAGGTACATGAGACACAAAACCACCTCTAAGACAAACTACAAAATGACACAAAATGTTTGTAGTAAAAAAAGACATAAAATGACTACACAGAGACAAGCTGCTTGTAGTCATTTAGTGTCTCTTTCAGTCTTGCTCCTATGTGGAAGGGGTGGGAGGTCTTTTACATGTCTGTGCCCAGTGGCCTGTTGTCTCATGATCTGCCCATGTGCATCCTATGTATGTTTCTCTGCACAAAGGATACATGTGTGAGTGATTGTGTGTGCATTACAGTTGCCCTTGACTCGTTTAGGAGTGAGGGTTTCTGGGACATTAGGGTTGGCTGACCAAGTGGAGGACACAGTGAGGCCCCTCAAAGCACCTCCACTGCCAGATGTCTCTACTACAGTACTCTATCTGGACATGGAGACCTAGTTCAAATGCATAAACCTCTGAAGAGATGCTTTTTTTCATCAGATAGGCCAAGGGGGACAAATGTGTGAGGAATCCCCCAACCCAAGTCCAGCTGACAATTCACAAATGTTGACAACGGGACCCAAAAAATGAATTACTAACACAGGACCTCCAATGTTACTCCCCTGTTACTCTCGCTCTCACAAATAAAAACTAAAACTGCAATCTGTATCTGCTACAAGCAGACACACATGAGGGTCATGCACGTACTGTGGCATCCTGTTTTTGTTGTGGCGGCCCTTGTTTCAGCGCTCAGTTGTTTCAGCCTGGTTCCATTTCATCTCACTTCACCACCCTGCTCTTTCCCAACCTCCATGTAATGCAAATGTTGGGAAACTGTTAAAAACTGCACTCGTTGTGTGGGTGGCAACATTATTATTCACTTTCCCTTGTTCTGTAAATTAAAGCTTTGGTATCGACACTAACAACTTCTGAACTCCCTGCATTGTGCAACAGTCAATCTGCTTTCAATCCGCTGTGCAAGGTTCTCATTTCTTCTGAAGATGACAGACTGGAGGTGGGAGTTTCAACAAAAGGAAAAACAACTTGGCATTGGGGTCTAGAAGAAACCTTGTATTTTAAATTCAACAACCTTTACATATGCCAGCTTTCATACTGTCAGCAGCATCTCTAATTCGGCCTACAATATGTTATTGGAAATGAAAGCTGATAATGACCCTGTAGGGGGGCCTGTCAAGCCATTGAAACTTTGTTATAAAATGCGCAAAAGAAAGCGATGTCAAAGGAAACATCAGCTAGATATTTATAGTTTAAAACTAGGACTTTTTAGACCTATTGTAATAGGTTTTCTGTGAAATGTACAATCTGCTGTACTATATGCAACAGTATTTCATTCTCACTTCTCTGACTATTGTGATATGATTACTGTTATGCTTTTGCTGGAAAACTGAGTAGGAAAGGGTTTAATAGAGGTTTGTGGATATACTGCACTCATACCGGTGACTAAGTTAGAATAACACCACTTTTTGTTTTGGTAGCTTTACTATTTCCTCTTAAAACCCCTCTCAGTAGACACATTCTGACTGTGAGAAGCGAGAGGCTTTGTACATTTAGGAAATGTCCACTGCAGCATAATTCTACCTGCGGAAAAATTGTATGTTGTTTTCTTTTATAGTGGCAAAGGGTAAAAGGATTATGTTGTATCAGACTGATTGAAAGACATGGTTCTGTAATATTTTCCATTTCCACTTGAATTTTAAAGAAAAAGCAGCTGTGGCTTCTGAAGGAGATCTTTCCGTGGGCACTGATGAGCTTTTTTTTAATGATTAAATACCCTTTTAAGCCTCACCTCTCCTTCCCGTGTCCACGGTCGGCCATTCTGGGGATACTTGACCTGCGTCTGCCTTTTCTTCTGGCCTCCGTCAGCAAACTTGCACAGCAACGGCTCTGCAGGGGCTACAGAGTGAGTCAGACAGAGAGGAAGGCAAGGACAAACACAAAGATGGATTAATCATCTTTATAGCACGAAAAAATATTTCCTGCATTAGGTTAAGAGTTACACTTCAAAGACAAGATTTAAAGGCAGGGTGTTATGCTCTGGCTTAAACAAAAACATAACATAAATCAATTGGACCTGAAAACAACACTTCAGCTCTTACATTTATCGCTCCTAGTCCCAATCCAAATATCTAAACAACAGCAGTTATCACATCATCTCTACAACCCCTACAACCATACCTCGACAAAAGCAGCCTTGACGCGGAAACAAAGCCATGGGCTAATCATCAAAGCATGGTGAGCGTTGTTCAAACGACAAACAGGTATACTTGATACGCTAAATAACTCCATACAGCTTGACCCCAGGCAACAGACTGTGATTGTGATTGCTCCAAAGAAAACATGGTCCATTTCTGGACCAGAGAAAGAATAAAGCCTTGATTACAAATAGGATTAGCTGAGTGTGACCTCTCATACAAAAGTTCACCAAACTCGGCTGCAGACTCAAACACCGTAAAGCCTTCTAAAATGGAAGGAAGTGGCTGGATTGAGGAGGGATTATTCTAAAGAAAAGATTTATTCCGTATCGATTTATTTCATTTTAAATATGTATCATATTTAGAATTTGTTAGAAAGCAAGAAAACATGAATAATGGCTTCTATTTCTGGGAAATACTTCTGCAACAGCATGATTCAACAAACACAATAAAAAGTATCATCCTAACATGAACCAGGGCACTCAGCTAAGACATTTGATGGCTTATGTAGTCAGACAACCGACAGACTGTCTTCTGTTTTATGTGATCTCTGTCGTTAGGGTGTATTTCTTGGATTTCCAGTGGGTGTTCAAAGACATGCACACATTGATTTGTACACAAACTTGTAAACTCACAACCATAAAATAAATGACAGAAATAACTGGATAAATATCATACATATTGAATCCATGTGGATCACAGAAAATACTGCCCTAGTGTACTTCTTGAGATGTGCTGTACAACAATATATATATTTTATATATATACAGTATATATATACATATATATTCATATAATTATATGCAATGTATTATTATATATAATTATATATATTATTATATATGGCATTAAAACACAGAAGAAAATGTAATTACACCACTGTAACACAGCAAGTGTTCTGTTCATGTCTTGATTCAGTTTTATGAAGCCACCTCTTAACCCTGAAATTGAATAAACCGCCTACTTTTTTGCATTGCCTCTCACTTGTTACTTTAATACGTCCACCAAGGCATGTTTGAGTCACTGACTGCATCTTAAAAGAGGCTATTAGCTGGCACTCTTTCACTGGCAAAGATTTCAAACTGCAGAGAAAGTCAAATCCTCATCACTGTGCACTGCTTTCAAATGAAGAAATTCTTAGACATAGAATGCTATGAACTAGCAAAGGCGCTATCATCATGCTGGCACTGATTCACACATTATGAAAGCCAAAATAAACTACACAATTACCTCGCCTCCTTCAAGAAAAATGTTTCTTCATTTCAGTAAACTGAAAAATGAGAAGTGGTGTTCTCAGTGGAGGAAAGCGTTCAGAGCACAAGGTTGAGACGAGTTATTTGGAATGCCTGGGGCCTGGATGGGTACTCCGAAAGGTAAGTAGATGGAGAAACACAGAGCTGTGTGATTATACAACATTTAGGAGTACTTTGTCATTATATTGTTTTAACTTGATTTCTATCTGAACAGCAGGCCACACAGCTGGGCCTCTGTTATCATCCCTCGCTTTTGCTTTCATCTTTCTCTCCCCTTCTATCTCTCTCTCTCTTCTACCTCTCTGGTCCATGCATTCACATACATTTGGTAAACAGTGCTGTAAGTAGGTGTGTAATTGATATGTGTCTGTATCACTATGTCGCACCACAAAACTCCTCATGAAAAACAAGAGCTTGGCCAAGAAAGAAACACAAATAAAGGCAAAATAAGAAAAGATACAGTTTGGTGACAGCTGAGGGAGTTTATTAAAGTGGGTAGCACTCAAGCTAAAAATACGATGATACTAGCGGTTCTCTTTCAAACCTCACTCGGTATCTCACAATGGGAAGTGCCTCCTGGCGTGACCAATCATGGAAGCTCCAATAACACCACGTCAGTCCTGAGACAGACCAATCATCTTCAGATGCACGGGGCTGCCTGTCCTCCCTTATAAATGCCCCTGGTGCCACCACGTGGCATTCTTGCTTTCTTCCCTGTGAAGATCATTTGAGCTCCTCAGCATCTTGATACCTGGATATTCATTTAACTGCACTCCGACGCAGCCGTCGTGAGTGTAATTCTTTTGTCAAAAAAGATTTTAGTTATTACCAGTTCGGGTGAATTATTGCGTGTTGTGGCGGGTTTCCTTTCTGAGCTTGGTTTTGGATCAAGCTAGCACGTCAAGGTGAGCTTGGTCCGTTTTTTACTGCTAGTGTTAAGCGTTAAGGTTGTGGGCTAGCTATGGCGACCACCGCATCCTCTAAGGGGGCCGTATGTATGGGGGTGAAACATGCTCAGACATCGCTAGCGGACTCTGTGTCCTGTGAGCACTGTTGCGCCATGCCGCCAAGGATTCTGGAGCGTCGCTTACGCGTGTCGGCGGCCTCCAAGGCCAACCCTTGCCTCGCCGACACAGCGGCGAAACCCAAGCCGGCTACGACCAGCGCTTGCTGGGGGGATATGGTTGAGGGGGACGGCGCAGGAAACTTCCTGCGCTGTTCAGCCAGCTCCTCGAGGCAGGTGGTGAGGACGAGGGGGAGGATATGAATTCCGGTGTGCATGAAGGAGATGAAGCGGTATTGGGACAAGCCTTTCTGCCACAGAGTTCCCGTCAAGGGTTACTCTGGCCTGGACGTCAATAACAGCGAGGGTCTGGGGCTCGCAGATCCCCCAGTGGTGGAGCAGGCAGTGCGTGCCATCTCCATCCCAACTGCCGGTCCACTATTGCCTCGGCGGGACGCGCCCTTCCAGGTAAAATGGAGCGCTTCACCGCCTCCATGTACCAGAAGGTGTATAAGTCTGCAGCCCAGTCGATTAAAAATCTCAATGTGGTCACCCTGCTCACGGCTTACCAGGCTGAGCTGTTCCAGGACATGGGTCACCTTTTAGATAAGGGCTCCCCAAGTCCGACCATTTGGGAGAGATATGTGTCGTCACGGACCTTATTCTCCGGGTGTCCAGAAGAGCGGTACAGAGCTGTGGCCGCGTCATGGGCCAGGCTGTGGCGGGAGAAAGATCGTTGTGGCTAAATCTCTCCAGCCTGCCGGACCAGGATAAGCAGGTCATAATGGATTCTCTGTTGGACCCGTCACGGGATAAGGGCTTATTTTGTGAGGCTGTTATCGCCATGCAACAAGCTAGCGACCTGAGGAAGAAGCAAGGGGAAGCCTTTGATCTCTGCCTTCCCTGCCTTCCCTCGCCCACCACCGCCAACCCGCCCGGGTTTTGCAGCTGTGGCAGCGAGAGGGCACGGCGGGGGCTTTAAAGGCTCCAGAATCCAGGCACCTGAGCAGCCAGCGGTTCATGGGCGTAGAGAAGCACGAGTTCCCCCAGTGCTCCCCAGTTCATTTACCCCCCCTCGGCGCCCTTTGGGGTCAGTTCAGAGGGAAGAGGGAATGTGTCAAACACAGTTCATACAAAGCACTTCACGTTTTTTCATTAAAGAGACCACTGCCGCAGCCAGGCGTAAAGTAAGGAGCATGCAATTCGGGAGTGGGCAACATCTCCCATAGTGAGATTTGGAAGAGAACTTTTGGTTACCAGGGTAACCCTGGTTCTCTGAAAACCGAGTGAGCTATCTCACAACACTGCCTTACTTGCATGGAGAGGGTACGTGGAAGAAATACACTTGAGAATGCCACGTTGTGGCACCAGGGGCGTTTATAAGGGAGGACGGGCAAGCCCATGCATCTCACGCCAGGAGGCGCTACCCATAGTGAGATACCTCACTCGGTCTTCAGTGAACCGGGGTTACCCTGGTAACCAAAAGTTTCTCAGCATTGTCAAACAGGCCAGTCTCACATCGATCCACTAGAGGAGACTCTGTCAGTGTCAAGTTCGCCTAGACTTGACAAGTGCACGCATGTATGATGGTGCAGTATAAAAAGCCACAAATTCAGAGTAGGGAGGAGGATTGGGGTTGAGCTACGCTTTAAACCAACAGTCAATGCTGACCTTTCAAGTAGCAACAAACTGAATGCATGTTACTTTTTTAACTTTTGTTTTGGTTTTTTGCATTTACTCCATCCCAATACATTCTTGGCCATAAAACTATTATCCCCAGAGCAGGGACTTTTCGACACTGGGAAATAAAATCAGAATAACTAAATTTAGGCTCTGGTTCCTGAGGTTTCATGTAAGGTTTCTGAGTCTCTGAAATGGTTCCTGGGCCCCAAAACAGTTCCTGTGGTGGCTATTAGAATTCATTGGCAAAACTTCTGATGATAAGTAGTCTGCGTAATGCAAATGTAAAAGCTTCAATGAGTTGGGCCTTGGTTGAATCATATATTGTTATAATACAAAATAGATTTAAATTCTAATTTTCAATTTAGAACCAGATTAGGTTCAGAATATGCTAAAAGATACATTTTAGAGTAACATGGGCAGAATTTTATTGTCAGATTTATAGCTAAAGGAAAGAATGTATTTTATGCTATCACAAGTTAAAAGTTCATTGATGTGTGTATTTGTGTTGTAAATGATTGCTACTTCAGAAGAATGGGAAGATGTGCGACATGAGGACACACATGCACTCTTGATACAGACTTAAAGGCAGAATCTGTGTTCAGGTGCTGTTTTGTTTTACTGGTGCGACAGACAGAAAAACTGTGGACAGCTGATACTTTCTATCTCTATGTTTGTCCTCGCTATTTGCATGAAAAGGATACCTCTGAGTTTTGAATTGAATCTTTTATTTTTATGTACCACGGATAATCACATAGACAGCAA